GATAAGCGCTTCTAATTTCCACCCCATAAATGCTGGGAACCAGCTGTATTTGTACAATGTATCCAGCAGAGGCTGCATGAAGACCATTTTCAAGTCATGACCGTTCACTTAATTGACCGTGGACTTTGTTGTTTATCGTTCACTTAAGTTTCACTTTGACATTCATCTAGGCAGAAGCAGGGAGCAATACTGTGTAGCATATTTTACTGAACACAACATGATAAGTTTATTTTAACTGATCTGTAAAATGAAATAAAAAAATCAATAATAAATTATCTTCAATACTCCAACCCGCTTGTTATTAGCTACGTGTCTCTCAAGTTAGCAAGCTAACGTTAGTGTTCAGTTGTACCGTCTTCACGATATTAGTAGATATAGCAACAGTCCTGTCGGACTGAGCTTCCAGTTTGTGAGGACATCCAGTGTTAATTACGTGATCTTTGTCGTCCTCAGTGAAATGCATTGTTTGTCTGAAATCTTAACTTCTCTTTAAAAAAAAAAAACACTGCTGTGGTCAGTACAAATTAGGCCTTCATACGTGACTGACTGTTTAAATAATGAACACGGAAGGTGTTACTTTGTTTAATTCATATTTTTGGAACACTTCATAACTTTATGGTGAAAAGTGGAGGATAGAAAATATGAACGCCCGTTAGGAAGACTGTTTTTATAACCTGTGCACCACTTGTAAACCTACAGTGGGACTAGGTTTAGCGTGGATCTGATTAGCTTAGCTTCATGGTTGCTAACAGCTGCGCTAAATAAACAAGCCTCGCTCAATTCGCTCTTTTCTTAAATTCTTAGGGGTGGACAAAGCGCATTAGCCTCTCCTCCCAATATCTGTATCGGCGATAGCCAAAATTTCCATATTGACCAGGCTCTAATGTGAATATTCACGTAAACTGAGATTTGAGATTAAAGATTTATGATGGCAGCGATCCACTTTGGTCACTGTTTGGACTAGCCATTTGCTCATCGATCTGGTCAAAACTAAATTCTATTTTTCAAAACTGAGATTGTTCAAAGAGCTATCTGCAACATGTAGGATATTAATTGTTCATAAAGTTTCCACAGAACTCCTATTTAATTTGTTTGATTTTTTATTTTTTTTCCCACTAATGTCAAATTTAAAGCCATTTTTGTTTTGATCTTGAATTCTATTCAGTCAACTGCTATCTTTTTGTTTATTTAGGGAATATTGTTTATAATTGATATTATTAATTGACTTTGACTAAACTGCTAATGTAGACCAACGCAAATCTTCTTGTAAACAAACCTTGTTTTGTTCTCTATGTTCATGCTCTTCATCATTTCAGTGTATGCAACTATCTTCTGGAGGGGGTGGAAGCAAATCAAAAGGCGGTGGAGGAGCTGGGAAGAATCTTGATATGAAGATGAAATTTGTATGTTCTCATTGCTGGCGGGACGGCCTGATCAGCGAACCAGATAAATCTCTGAAATACTGCAATGCCAAAGCCAGGCACATGTGAGTGCAAATTCAATTCTATTGTCTCCATACAAGTTTGATTAATACGCTGGTGAAGATTCTCAGTCATCCAGTACATGGTAAATTCAACAAAGTTCAAGACAAGAACAATTGGACTTTATTTGTAACAGAAGACCTTTCGCTTCTCTTCCAAGAAGCTTTCTCAATTCAAAGAACAGGGAGTGTGGGGTTCAAGTTCTAAAGCTGAGGTAAGATACACTACCTTGCCAAAAGTATTTGCTCACCTGCCTTGACTCACATATGAGCTTAAGTGACATCCCATTCCTAACCCATAGGGTTCAATATGACGTTGCTCCACCCTTTGCAGCTAGAACAGCTTCAACTCTTCTGGGAAGGCTGTCCACAAAGTTTATGAGTGTTTGTGGGGATTTCTGATCATTCTTCCAGAAGCACATTTGTGAGGTCACATACTGATGTTGGACGAGAAGGTCTGACTCTCAGTCTCCGCTCTAATTCATCCCATAGGTGTACTATTGGGTTGAGGTCAGGACTCTGTGCAAGCCAGTCAAGTTCGTCCACACCAGACTCTGCCATACATGTCTTTATGGACCTTGCTTTGTGCACTGGTGCACAGTCATGTTGGAAGAGGAAGGGGCCAGCTCCAAACTGTTCGCACAAAGTTGGGAACATGGAATTGTCCAAAATGTCTTGGTATGCTGAAGCAGTCAGAGTTCCTTTCACTGGAACTAAGGGGCCAAGCCCAGCTCCTGAAAAACAACCCCACACCTTAATCTTCCCTCCACCAAACTTTATAGTTGGCACAATGCAGTCAGACAAGTACCGTTCTCCTGACAACCACCAAACCCAGACTCGTCCATCAGCTTGCCAGATGGAGAAGCGCGATTCGTCACTCCAGAGAACGCACCTCCACTGCTTTAGAGTCCAGTGGCGGCGTGCTTTACACCACTGCATCCAACACTTCGCATTGCACTTGGTGATGTATGGCTTTGATGCAGCTGCTCGACCATGGAAACCCATTCCATGAAGCTCTCCGCGCACTGTTCTTGAGCTAATCTGAAGGCCACATGAAGTTTGGAGGTCTGTAGTAATTGACTCTGCAGAAAGTTGGCGACCTCTTTGCACTATGCGCTTCAGCATCCGCTGACCCCCGCTTCGTCAGTTTACGTGGCCTATCACTTCGTGGCTGAGTTACTGTCATTCTCAAACACTTCTATTTTCTTATAATACAGCTGACAGTTGACTGTGAAATATTTAGGAGCGAGGAAATTTCACGACTGGATTTGTTGCATAGGTGGCATCCTATCAGTTCCAAGCTGGAATTCACTGAGCTCCCAAGAGCGACCCATTCTTTCATAAATGTTTATAAAAACAGTCTGCGTGCCTAGGTTCTTTTTATACACCTGCGGCCATGGAAGTGAAAGGAACACCTGATTTCGATAATTTGGATTGGTAAGCAAATACATACATACATATGCAGATTGACCTATCACACCTCACATTAGGGTTTTGTTAAGGTCTTCGTTAATCTAATTCACAGATGGGCCACTCTGGTCACGTGGATGACATTCCTGCTTTTCACACCTATGCATCTTACCTCAGCTTTTTAACTTGAACCTCCCACTGCCTGTTCTTTGAATTGAGAAAGCTTCTCAGAAGAGAAGCGAAATGTCTTCTGTTGCAAATAAAGTCCAGTTGTTTTTGTCTTGAACTTTTTTGAAGTTTGATTAATATTTTTAAAGAACAGTGTATTTACAAAAATGATTTTGGTTTGTGGTTCTTCTCTACAGGTGCATCTAAAAAAAAGAAAGAATATTGTAAAAAAGAAAACTTCAGATTTTCTTGTCATTTCAGAAAGTGAACTTGTATATTAAATAGATTCATAGAGTGGAATATTTCAAGCTTTTATTTTTTGTAGTTTTGATGAGTGTGGCTTACAGATAATGAAAAAACTAAATCTCAGTGTCTCAGAAAGTTAGATTAATCCACAGCCAGCTTTGGTACCTTTGTCATTGTGGGCAGGAGCCGAGTCCTGCTGGAAAATAAAACCAGCATCTTCATAAAATGAAACCAGCATCGCCATAAAGCTCGTCAGCAGTCACCAAATTTCATGCTCAGTAATCGAGGTGTTTTGAACCATTTTGGCTGCCTTAGAGGAGTTGACAGAAGAGATGGCGGGCCCCAGAAACCTTCTTATCGCCAGTAAACTGGTATTTTCCACTATGGGAGTTGGTGCTTGTGAGACTCCAGTTTGTTTGTGGCTCCTCGGACTGACAAAGTCCTTTGGATGAAGGACGAAACGTCTCTGCAACAAAGAAACCGTCCAGATGACCTGACTGAATATTGTTGGATTTGTACCTGGATTATTGAGCATGAACTTTGGTGTTTTGAACCATTTTGGCATGGCTGCCTTAGAGGAGTTGATGGGGGAGAGGGTGGGCCCCAGAAACCATCTTATCACCAGCAAAATGTTTTTCCCACTATGGGATTTGGCCCTTGGGGAACTCCAGGACAGGTTGTGTGTGGCTCCTCAGACTGAAGAAGTCTTTTGAATGAAGGATGAAACGTCTCAGAAAAAAAACAAAACAAAAAAAAAACATCCAGATGATCTGACTGAACATTATTGGGTCCTGGTAGATGCTACATTGACTGTGGACTTCAGAAAACACAGTAAACCAGTGCCAGCAGAGGACAGGGACCCAAACCATCACTGACTGGAAACTTCACATTGGACTTCAAGCAACATGGATTCTGATCCTCTCCACTCTTCCTCCAGACTCTGAGACCATGATTTACAAATGACATGAAACTTCTTTGATCTGAATAGAAGACATTGGACCACTGAGCAACAGTCCAGTTCTTTTTGTCCTCAGCGGGTAAGACACTTCTGACATCTCTGGTTCAGGAGTGGCTGGACTTGAGGAATGAAACATTTGTAGCTCATGTCTAGGAGTTAATCAACTGATTACGGTGAGACTCCAGGAGTTTACAATATTAAATCCCTTCGCAATATTCTAATTTTCTGAGACACTGAATTTTGGTTCTTTATTATTTGTAAGCCATAATCATCAAAATTACAAGAAATAAAGTCTTGAAATATTTCACTCTGTGTAATTAATTTCTGCAATACGAGTTTCACTTTTTGAAATATTGACAAAAAATGTAACTTTTTCACAATATTCTATTTTTTTTAGATACACCTGTATATGAAGTACTATATCAAGAATTTCTTGGTATCTCACCATCATAACGTGTTTATATTTACATCTGTGTGCAGTGCAGCATTTTAACTCGTAAAAACTCTTTATTAACCAAACAACTGATAATTGTGATTATGTTCTAAAAATAAAACATTTACAGATCAAAGTCCCGCTGTGTGTTTTTATGCAGGCTTGTGGTTGGTTTAATGAATCAGTATAAAGTTTCTCTCATCTTTTGGTTTCTTCTTAAGGTGGACTAAAGACAGACGGGTGCTGCTGGTCAAGTCCTCGGAGAGGAGTAAATGGGTTCAGGTCCGACCGCTGCCACATGCCAAGAACTTCCCTCTGTATTATGATGTAGGTGTGCTTCTTCTAATCTTACCTGAACACAGGTGGTTTCACACCATCACTCACCTCACAGACAATGTTGGTGTGGTTTTGTGATTTTCTTTAATTTCTTGACTTTCTTCATATTTTCCTTTGTTCTGCTCATATCTGGGGATTTGAAACCTGATCTTGGAGGTTTACTTGTCACTTCATGTGGCCACTTGTAGGTTTTTACTTTTTGAATCAAAAATTCTTATCAAAGATGAGTCAAATATCAAATGTTTTGGGAGTTCTTAAAACAATCACTATTAAACATTTGATTATTTGAGTAAAAATAAACAAGCGGAA